ATTTCCGTGAAATAAACTCAAAAGATTTCAAATCTTTTGTTAGCGATTCACAGAATCTACCTCAATAGCTGTACTACTTGGTTAATAGTAACGTTATATTTTTGTAATTAACCTTAACGTAACTTAATAAATATACATCCATAAAATCAATTATATATAAAATTTCTTAAAAGAAACCAGTAGCATTTAGGAAAAGGTCACATACCTACTATTAAGACTTCTTTAAATGTTTTTAATAACAAAACGGGTATATTTTGAACACAAATGTTTATTTACATAAATTCTGTTATACTGAAACAAATTGAGCATGTTTTCTTCTAGGAACCGTGTTTTTCCCATTCATTCCGCTATATGACGTGGGGCTAATTTTAAAACGAACTGTCCTATATTTTTCTGATAGTTTTTGTAATGAATTTGGGCTCTTTCGATTTTAGAACATTTAATCTTGGCTTTGTGGTTTCACTAAACACGTCTAGATGTATTGTTTGGAGTTTTTAATAATTAGTTTAAAGTTAAATAGATGTGGGACCAGTGCACAAGTTTTAAATGACAGATTATTTTATTTTGGTAGATTTTTTCTTTAATTTGAATAACCACTGTTAGTATCCCTCTAGTCAAAAAGGCCTACATATGATTCTACACCATTCAATTAGTTAAAAATAGCACTTTTACCAAAAGCGATGGTGTCACCACAAAAAATGTCGGAAAATGGTCCATTTTTGACTATTTTTTACCCGTTTTCGAGGCTCTTAGAAACATCAGTAAACGCGGTCATAAAATTTTGAAAATGACAGTTTTTGTAGGGAATTTTATGTACTTTTAGAAAATATAATAATATTAGGGATTAGGTGCTTTGGTTTTGTTAGAAAATTGATTTTTTGAACCCTTGTTTTTGAGCGAAAATTTGATAACTATGCCTACATCAAAAACGGTAAACGCAAAGCCACAATGGCGTATTCTTTCGTGTTCTACGACTCCTAGATAGTAAATAACAGGAGTTTTATCAAAATCTGTGACATGACCAAAATCAATCAATTTTCATGACTACATATAAATATCGCTCATTTTTGGCCATTTTTACGAGTTTTCTCTCTTGGAAAAATAGTAAAGATATGAACATTTTAGTATTATTTGTATTTCAGATTTTATTGCTATTTATACGATAATAAGATTGGTAGATATCTGAAAAATAATAATTAAACCTTCTGTTTTAAATACAGTAAAGAATGAGTATTTCCCAGTTATTTTTATATTGAACTTCATTTATCTCGTCTCTAAAATCTTCAAAGAGCATAATAGTAGGCGATAAGCTATGTTGCCGGTCAATTTAGTTTGCGTGTTCTTTTAGAGATGTTTGATCTTTTAAAGTTCAACGTCTTCAGCATCTCCTTGATCTTATCAGATTTCTCTTTCTCTCTCAAACTTAAATTTCAGGAAAAAGACATGTACATGTCTTTCTTACGTTTTCACCTCATAGTGTAATAAAAATAACTTTTTTTGACTTTTGAATTTTCTTGTTGTATTTTCAAACAGCTTGAAATGCACTTCGGAGAAAAGTTTTTAGTTTCTTATTTGCGAAACGAAGCCTTAACAAGCCTTTATATGAACAGATAGCAGAATCGATTATTTAATATCCGTACAGTTGCTTTTTCTATTTATTCTAAGACACACACGGTTCAGTGGAATTGTATTAGAAATACAACATCACTGCCTTAGATTCAATTAAGGCTCTTTGTGGAATTTCAATTGGTCGCTATTTACAAACAGGAAATTTAAAAAGAGAATGACTACGGTGCTTCAGTTTTTGTTACATTAATTGGCTATCTATCTTAAGTTAAATGCATAGGCAGAAGGTTCAAACATAAAAAAGTTCTGATTTATTTCTTGAAGCAGACGAAAACAAATTATTTAGCTACTACTAGTCATTACGGTGATTTAAAGACTATTATTGTTAAGTTACTTAATGTCAATGTCGAACAGTTACAACATACTGTACTAATATTCTATTGTCTAACAACTACACTTTTTCTTACCGTTCCTTTTCATTAGAAATGCTCGAAGTTGTGTTGTTTCACAACGCTATACATCGGTAATATAGATATACAGTGCGTGCATAACAATATTCAATTTTTTACCAGTATTAATACATTACTGATACAAAAAATATAATTTTGACAAAAGTATGAAGAGTTTTTTCTTTCTGAAGTTTTCATCAGATGAACTCCCACAAAAATATAGACATTATATGTTATACTATATTTCAAACTAGAATTAAGGCTTCAAAATGTTGTAAGTTTCTCTGCTTTTAAGTTCATTTTAGTACACATGCGAAAGGGCGTGGCGTACTTCTTGGAATACCCTATCACAAGCACTTATCACTGGAATATTTTTCGAAAAAAAAACATGTACGCCACTGACTTTTTTTTCCTCTTGATAGGGAAATTTTATAGGTAGTTTAATGCTAATTAAAAGTTGTATCTTGATATTTTGTCGATTTCGATCTCCTTAATGAAATAAACGCAATTTTATTAACACAATGAATACAATTAAATTAAAAATAAAATTAATAAATTATTTTTATTTTAACTAGTTCAGTATTAAATACTATTATTAGTCCAACCTACCTCAAAGTCAAATTAAAAAAATAATGGAATTTAAGATAATTATGAAAGACCTAATTTTAAAAAATTTTAACATATTGTAATTTTAAAACTATGTATTTCCATACCCATGTTTATAGGAACTTTTTTTATGAACATTTTTTTTGATGAGCAATTAATGAGAAATTATTTAAAACTTTCGCAAGTTAATAATATTTTTTAAGGTTGCTGTTAGACTTGGATCAAAGCAAATTAATAAAATTGCGTTTATCAAGGAGGTCGAAATCGACAAAATGTCAAGAGACAACTTTTAATCGGCATTAAACACTATTTCTCTAACAAGAGAAAAAAATCAGTGGTGTACATGCTTTCTCTAGAAAAATATTCCAGTGATAACCCATATGCACGTCCCTGGTGAATCTGTCGACATTTTTTCTGCATTAAAATATGTTGACCTTATATAGTAACTTTTACCCTCAAAATTTCATTGGAATCGCTAAAAGTACTTGGATGAAAATTGTAATAAATCATAAAAATTAAGACTTAACTTAAACCCCTTATAGCTACGAAACAAAGCAGACTCGGACCTATGTTGGTATGAAAAATAAATCTTTTTTACGTGAGGAATCTCTCCACGAGAAATGGCACATGGTTTTTTGAAACACCATGTATATAAAGTCCGGTCTAGACATAAGTTTTAACGTTCGTTTTGCATGTCAGTTAAAACTGTGAGTTTTGATTGTCGACTGTCGATTTTAAAATACATTTTCTGCTTTAATTCTGCAAACAGTTTCATTTTAATTCATTTCAAGTAAAACGATCTGTTTTTTCGTCTACACACAAGGTTTTAGTTCATACGTTTTGACTGAACAGGTAAGACTGACAGGTAAAATGTTATGTGTAGACGGCGCTTAATGCGCTAACAAATGTTTCGTATGGACATTAGATAACTATAAACAAAACAATCTTGAAGATAAATCTTGACGATTCTTTTCAAAGAAACGCTTTTCTTCCTTAGAATTCTATAATGCCATTTTCTAGTTAAGACACATTATATTGTTTCCCGTTATATAAACATAAAATCTAAGAAAATATATTTAAATTTGCCTTCAGCTCTTTTTCTAAAGCAAGAAGTTATTTTTAAAGCAAGTAAATAATATAAATAATTATATTTTAGATGTCTAATATAATAAATTTTAAAGAATTTTTAGTCAACTTGAAAGATATTTGTTAGAACGGCCGTGATATAACATGAATATTTATACACAGTGTTTCTCAGAAAATATTCAAATATATTTTGATCATTAGGTGTAAATCTTAGAAAGTGCCTAACATTAACGAACTTAATATCATCAAGGACTTGGCGTTCATAAATATTTAAATACAATTTGTTTCGATCTTAACAGACAGTAAAAGGGTTTATGGAAATAGAAGGAAATGTACAGGGTGTAACTGACATATTTAACTTATCTAGTCTGTTAATTATTTTTGGAGAAAGTGTAGTTTTCCCAATTTCTTTGTTTTTCTTTTTTTTTTCGAAATTTAAACATTTAATTGAAATGATTTCTTAATTTTAAGTAGAATTCGATTGCACTAGATTTATTAGCTTTACTTTGAAATACTGATAATATCCGCCATTTATGTAATTTAGCTTTTGATTGATGCAGCAATTCTTGTGAAGCGAATTTAGAAATTTTTCAGAAATCGTTAAAACAAATGCGCTATATAAGGATATTTTTCCTTTATTTGTTTCTTAAATTAGTTTAGTTGTAGTTTAATATATAGACAGAGATTAGATTGCAGCTTAATACATATACATCTAATTTCATTAAGATTTCGAGAGTGCACTGTGATATTGATGATTAAGGTTGAGATAAGTAAGTTATTTTATTCAAATGACATGTTTTCAGTAGAAATAATTTTGGATGAATAAGCCTGCCAGTCAAGTATGTAATAACTTTTTATCATTCATAGAAAATTCATGATAACAATATACGTGATTGGCTAGAGGAAAGATTTTATTTGTGGAAAGCAAATTCGTTATGTTATAAAGGGTATATAAACAATAACAAACATCCTCGAAAATAGTTCAAAGCGAAGGCAATCAAATGAATTTTGATAAAAGAAGCTGAACGGGTCGTTTTGAAAATTTTCCTCAGAAGCGGGCTTCAAACGTGCACCTATTAATTCCCGGTTTCGAAGAAGAGAATTATTAAGCAGGCTGCGAGGGCAATTATTGATTTCTTGCTTCGAAAATAATTGTAAACTATCCATAACACACGCTATTACACTTGCACTTACTCCCTCATTAGGCGCTGCACTTTTTTCTCGCTGCCAAATTATCGTCTTTTGATTTTCTCGGAACGCGCAATATGCAAAACGAACAGATTTTCTTTTTAGTTTCAGAGCAGAACTCGTTTGCTTCAGTATGAAGGTGTACCGCAACATGGCTTATCTGTACCGAGGTCTAATTTTTCTCATAAGTTGCATAGAAATCTTCTCTAAGACAAATCCCGAGATGTCTTGCGATCCACTTTCACAGAAAATTGGTTGTAAGTAAAGCATGTTTCTCTTCTATTATAGAATGAAAACCTTAGCCAATAAAGGTAATCATATTTGAATGCACACTACAGGGATTTTAGCAATTCTTGCTGACCTACAACTTCAGGTTTCGTTCTACAAGCTCATGTTATTAGATTTTCAACCTGCTGTTTCGCTTCCGAGATATCATCATCTTTTTCCAATACGGACGTGGATTTTTTTTTCATTTTGAAAAAGCTTATGACCGCAGGCTCAGTAAGGCTCAACTTTTTCTAATTTAATCATCTTTGTCTCTCTTCTTTTTGTTTACGAGTCCTGCAATGTGCATTCTTCTATGGGACACCATGTATATAAAATAGTTAATGTAATTATAATTCTAAGATACGTATCCTCGAGGCGATATCACATTGGAGTATGGTGAAGACTTGAATCTCTGGTGTGTTTTACATCAAGATAAAGCTGCTACGTATTTAGAAAATGCAAGTTCCTTAATGAAATTCACTTATGAAAAGCAGGCTCAAATTGTAAGTATTGAAAACACTTGCGACGAGTTTCTTCACTTATGATTTGGTTTTCTTTCAGAGCGAAATAGTGAATTCAACAACCATAAAACTTCACATTGAAAAACACCCGTTGACGACAGCAACTGGATATACTTGTGAAATTAATGGCGAAACAGTTTGTTACAATGTCGTGATTGTTGGAAGTAAGTTAGAATCGGTTTTGGTCTTCATCAGTTCTGTTCTAATGTTACCTTAATTTCTATTCAAGCAAAACCGAAAGAAGTGATGGATTTCGATTGCGTAGGGAGGAATTATGAAAATTTCACTTGTTCCTGGACCGCACCGGAGAACTACGTGAAAACAGAATATTTTCTAGAATACTACATCCCTCAGCGCCCTCAAAGGTATTCTAATACAATGGCTTCTAAGAATGCGGAATTTATGTATGTAAAATATAATGAAAAAATCGTTTTGGATTGAAGGCCATCGCATTTGGTCTTCGTAGGTGTTAGTTTTATAAATGCATGCTTATTTCTTTATTCACTGGCAGTACCTATAGTTTAAATCCAAAATGATTTTTACTACAGACTAACTTAATTTGTAGAATAGTTTAAAACTCCTTTATATTAACTTAAAACAGCAGAGAAAATTCTGGAATGTTTATAAATCAAGCTTAATTTTTTAGAACCGCTATTGGTTGTCCAAAAATCGAACAAGATAAGGACAAATATTCGTGTACGTGGAGCTTCTATACCAAGCCCCAGTATCGTCACTCCAATCCGATTTTTGAGTTCAATCTAACGGCATCGAACGTTTTTGGAAAACGCACATTAAATAAAACCATCGTTCAATATTCGCGAAGTAAGTTTTTTACTGTAAGTTTGCACAAATTGTACTAAAATATATTTTTCAGTTATACCCAACCCTCCTGTGAATCTTACCGCGACTGCAATAAGTCCAAATTCAATAAAATTATCCTGGGCTATACCAGTGCTCATTCGTAGTTTTCCACCTGGTTTAGACTTCAGAGTTAGTTACTGGGAAAAACATTCTGGAAAGTGGACTACTCTTTATAATTCATCAAACACTCATAAACCACCATCTGTGGAATACACGCTTGAAAATCTTCCATATGCTCATTGCCTCTATGATATAAGAGTTGCGTTGAAATCGAATAACGCTACAGGGGAATTTTACTGGTCAAATAATTCCACTGTAGCATTTTATAGTCAGTCCAAATTACCAGACAGACCTCCAAAAACTAACATAGGTGGCTTCGAAGTTGAAGGACGCAATATTATCATTTATTGGCAGAAATTGCCTCAATACGAAGAAAACGGCAGTAATTTCACATATCACATCGAAGTGGATGGTGATCCCAGTATAAAAGCCAAAAAAATCCTTTCGACTAATGCCAGGTTTGAGAAAATGGAAAATCGTAACTATACTTTCAAAATTTGGTCCAAGAATGAAATAGGGTATTCTAAAACTTATTCAGTTGTTTCTGTTCCTGCAACTTATTATTGTATGTATATCTTTTCTATTTATTCTTCTATTTTAATCAACATTAAATAATATTTTGATTCATAGTCTTGAAACCAGCGCTAAACTTGGTAAAGGTATTTAAAGGTAACGGAATATATGAGTTAGAATGGTCAGATCCGGCACCCGAAAAATCAACTAATTATACCATTTTTTGGAGTGATGTAAGCTATTTTTAGTTAGTATTTGTTATTTAATGTGCTTAATGATTAATGATTTTATTAGGGAAACATCAATTGGACGACAGTAGATAAAGGCATATCAAATAAGGTTTTGAGTCTGAGTAGCGATAATAATACAGACAGTGGTAAAGATTCTTATAGTCTTGCTTTATCTGTTAACGGGCATGAAACAAGCAGTGGTCTCACATGGGCTGAATGCACTCCACTCCCAGGAACAGGATCTAAACTAAGGGAGGTTTATGTCAAGGATGTATCTTCCAGATCAATACTAGTGGCCTGGTCACTTAAATGTTACAAAAAAGCTAATCTTCTCGGGATTAATATTATTTATTGTAAAACAGAACAATTCAGTAACACGACAGCATGTCAAAATGACACAATAAGATCCACTAATATTACAAAGCCTGGTGCCGAAACTGGTCTTATTACAGGCCTCACGCCTTATACCCGATATAAAATTCAAGTGAAGCCGATTTTGTACGATCTAGAAACATACTACAGCGACGAAATGGTCAACTCGACTTTTGAAGGCGAACCCACAGAACCGAGAAATCTTAAAGTTATAGGTGTTACCAACTCCTCAATTACGATAGAATTTCAGAAGCCCGAAGAAGAAAATGGTTATATTAGGGAATATAATATATCAATCTTCCCCGGGATGTCACCGATCAGAGTTCCTCCAGAACCAAAAAAAGAGATCTATCAAACAACAATAGAAAAACTTACACCCTCCACCAATTACACTATTAGAGTTGAAGCTTGCACCGTGAAGTGTTCTACTCAGTCAATTATTCAGACAGCTACCGAAAACGGACGTAAGATTCACCCAAGGTGCTCATTCATTTATTTTTACCAACACATTTTTTACAGGACCTAATATAGTTCCAAAACCATTTGCTCAGTATGATAATTCAAGTGTGTTGCTCTCGTGGCACAAACCGACACCAGATCAAGCAAAAGTTGATTTTTACGAGATATGGATCGGCACAAATAAAAATGACGAGCCGTCGAGTAAAGGACAAATTTACAAGACCTTTAGTAAGTTGTTTAAATCATCGCGAAAAACTTGACTTTACTATATATTTACTAGGCCTGCAATACAATACAAGCATGTGCAAGGATGATGAAAAACTCAAGACTATCTATGTAATGATTAGAGGTGTGAATATGCTAGCTGACAAGCGTTTAGAAGGTCCATGGAGTGAGAAGATGCTATGGCCTTGCAACACTACTTCTGAAACCTGGGTTGTCATCACTATTATTGCCGCCATCTTTATCTTTGGTGGTCTTATGGTTTATTTAGGGAAAAAGTAAGTGCCATCTTCAAACCTTTTTAGTTTAAAGAACATTTATAACTTAATATCAATTCCAGATTATGGGGACACATTTCCTTAATGCGCAACGTAACTGTGAAACTTCCCGACGGCTTAGCTGACCTCGTCAACTATCCAGAAAAGGAGAAACAGCATTCTGATGTTCCGCTCTTGAACAAGAAGTTCCCTGGCCAGACTAATAATGCTCTAAGTGGAGAATCTAGCGGATGTAGTTCAGGGCAAGAAAGCGTCGCTTCTTCAATCGAATCCACTGGTCATCTTTCGGCTTCCGATTCGGGCACTGAACAGCCCAGATCGCCATCTTTAGGCGAAACAGACGGCAGGGACATTGCTTTGAGGCAAAGAGCTACCAAAAACCCCAATGTAAAAAAATCAGGTAAGTTGACAGTAAAATAAGACGTTTTTAGAAGCACTATCAATTTTTTTTTAGAATATGTTACTATGCCTGAGCTGCCCCAAACGCCTTGGTCAAATAAGCAGGCACCGGGTTATAGCGTTATCGGTTTAATACCTACAGCGGCAAAAAAACCGGAAGTGAATTCAGACTACTTGATGTTGTCGGATCTTGCTCCCAAACCTTCGGCTTATATGCCATTTACTGTCCCCATTTCTTCTGAATCGACAACGGAACCAGTTGTAACGGAAGTAGCCAGTTCGGGGTACGTCCCTTTCATGTCTCAAGAGCCGGCTTCGAAGAATACCGATTACGTCATGGCTGGGACGCCATCGAAGAATATAGAGGTTCCTAGTGTTCCCTGTACCCGGAAAGAGGAATCTTCTGGATACGTAAAAGCTCCGCCTATCGATACGAACAAACCGCTGCTGTTTCAATGGCAACAGCAATCGCCAGTTGAAACGCCATCGTCGGGATATGTCGTGGTGGGCGATCCCAAACCGCACTGCGAGTGATTTTAGTGACATTTGCCTGTAGAATAACTTCTGATTCCTTCGCAGGGATTAAGACTTGCTGTGCATTCACTGACAGAATTTTATTTTTATTAAGTTATTTATATCTATACTTAGATGTTGCCTATTTAAATGATTATACTTAAAAATGGATCTGGTTTAGATTTACCTGTATTCTTGACATGTTTAAATGTCAGCATACATCATAAAGACGAGTCTACCAGGTTTTCCGTCTGTCAGAGTGTTAATTTCGAAAGATATTCAGGCGAGATCTGTACATATCAGTCTTTTGCTTTGCATAAATATTTTACTATTTTAAATTCCCCCTAGTAATCTAAAAAAAATTGGATTGAAATATCTATAGTACGAATAATTTAAACATATGTGTAAACATTTCAGATAAGTATTTGCTTAAGAATTTTTTTTATCAAAATCATATACCGGGTGGAAAACATATCATCATTGAAAGCATAGGAAATCAATCCCATGCAAATTTTGAACTGTTCAAATATTGGCTCCCCTATTAATTTTACAGATAAGTCCTAAATTGTTTGTTTAAAGGTCTGGCTATGATGAATACTCATGCCAAATTTGAACAATTTTGGACACGCCGATTTGAAGTAATTTAAGAAAAACTGCCATCTATTTTTAAATTAAAACTGAACGGGGTAACAATGCAAAATCAGTCGAATGTCAACAACATACCTTAAGGAGTCAATTTATGATTTTATTATTGTCAAATGTAATTTGTTGTGCTGTCTACACTACCACGGTAGAATACTTACGGTTATCGTCCCGGAAAGGCATTTTTCTAATTTAAAACTGGTTCGAATGAGTCAAAAGCCTAACGTTTAGAAAGTATAATTTGACATTGACAGAATTATAGGATGACAACTTAAGGTACGTTAACATTTGCCTGGCTTTGCAGTTTCCTGTTCAATATAGGGACAGTTCAAAGTTTGCATGCGATTTTCTGTTTCCAACGACGATGCACCACCCGGTACATTTCTTAAGTTTCGTTCTTTAATATTGGAAAAATATACAGGGTGAGTAGATATATTAACAATGCTGTGTAAATTATTTTTTTGTTAACATTTCTGTATCGAAGTTGTCGTTTGAAAAACTAAGAATTAGATCATTTTACAAAATTATCAGCTCCGTAATTTTTTTTTTAAATAGCTGTGAAAATTATATAAGGGCAGCAGAAGTAAAATTACCTGTGATATTGTAATAACTCTTAATTATTAATCAGGGAAAATGACACTTTGACAGCAAACTCCAGAACATCATGAACTATTGTTTTCTTTAATTGTACATATTTAAAGGTATTAAATATTATCAAATTCTTCCTTTTACATCGTTTAATGTATATATTTATTAGTTAGATTAAGGTGAGGCAAATAATCTGTAATGTAAGTTAAGAACGAATATTTTCGTGCCTTAAAGTTTGACTGATGCTGGGTGTCGGTTTGTTTTCAGAAACAATTAATAAGACACACAAATCTGGAAGCAAGTGAAAAATGTCATATTTTAGAGTAATTTTATTTCTTATTAATTGTTTTGAAGTTAACACCAACTTGCAGATGGTTTTGCTAATTTTACGTTTAATCGACTTGCCAGATTATAATCTAAGTGCTTTTAGACATATACATTACATTATAGTGATGGCAGTAGAACAAAATTGTTTTTAAAAAGTCTTCGATATTGTCGCCCTTTTATTTGCCAATTTATTAAGTTTTATTTTTTTTTACATTTAAAATTTCTTGAAAAATGTGAAAACTTACATGCTTTGTTTTTCTAAGTTATGTTTAATAATTTTTACACGCACGTCAAAATTATTTGATATACACTAGGCAAAGAAATTTGAAGTGTAAAATGTTGGGTCACTGTCTAGAACTCAACCCCTATTAACTAAATTTGTAATACAACCCCCCCCCCCCAAACATTTTGATAATAATATCACACATAAAACTGTTTAGATTTAAAGTTACTTATTTTGGCATTATACTTAAAAATTTTAGTTAAATTAAGACGAATTGACTCTCGGATTTCTTTAAAAAGTTTGCAAATTCTTGTGTTTATAGGTTCTGAAGATTAACATTCACCTAGGATAATATAAATGTGAAAAGTATATAAAAAAATGAAAAGGATCTAGCTGGGTGAAAAAAACTGCTACGAATGCAGATGTGTTTCTGTCCTTTACAATTAATCTGTGATAACTGTTTTTATGTCGTATTTTTTTATTAAACATAAGTGAATGTTAGTTTTTAACCTATCGTGTAAATGCAATTTATTTTTATATATATTTTTTGTAAGTTTTATATGTCTCAGTTTCTGTAATAAAAATATTTGAATAGTATTTTCCATAATCATACTGAAAAGAGTCTACATATATTTTTAGATGTCTCATACTATTTTTATGAGCAAATTGTTTTTAGAAATTGCCATAGAAAGTTTTTAACCGAGTTGAAAAGGGCATAAATCCAAGTAGCTGGTCAATACATATGTATGTTTAATTCATGTTCGTCTCATAAATGTTAAAATCTGTCTGTATAAGCAGTGTTCCTCCTTATTTAAATTTTTTATTTAATAATATATAGTACATTTAAGACAAGTTCTATTTATTTATTTATTTGCCTGAACTATTTGTGTTGGTTTTCCGCAAAAACTAATATACAGGTGCAGTGAAATGAAATGCATTGCAAAAACAGTAGTTTATTTAATTGATAAATATCTTAAGATTTTTTGCCAATAAGGGCCGTTTAAAAATCCAATAAAGACTAATAATAAAAAATATAATGTGATAATAATCCACAGAAAATTTGTTTTGATAAAAGACTTTACCATATTAGGGCGTTTCTGTGTATAGACTAGAAGGTACTTTACTCTTAATAGTTCACTATTAGTTACAACAAAATACTTTTCTGGTATTTCTCCATAACTGTCTTGGTTGAATGATCGTCCTTTATTATTTTTATCTAAAATTATAGGGAACATGAAAAATGATGTTACTTTAAACATCTACTTCTCTATATACCTTTGCATTTGACTTCTTCATGGTCATTGATTATTTCAGCAACTGCTATTATACTGTGCTTAGTCCCCAAGGAACTCTTTTTCCAAGTTTCTCCATAAGAAGCATAATTTGTACAAACTGATATCTCACTTGAGAGATATATTCCACTACCAAACAGTACTTCCTAAACATATTATTGAAAATATTTATTTTATATTTGGGGCATTAAAAAACTAGTTTTAACAGAAAGCCTATAGGTACCTTGCCATTTGAGAAATGAGGCTGCAAACCGAATTTTAATATGGAATAAAAGTTATGGATTGAACTACCATGAAAGGCATAAAATGTATCTCTATTGTCCACTCTTTGGATCCAGTTCCCTTCAGATCTTTTACTATGGTAAACTTTGAACACAAAATGAGGTATAACATTATTCTGCTCAGCAGTTCCTACAGAGATAGGTATTTCATTCTAAAAAGTTACATAGTGTGTTAAAAAATGAAGAAAATCCATCTTATGTTCCTAATTTACCAATTGAGAGGGAGATAAAACTGGGAAACTAGATTCCAAGAATAACCATACCAATAGATTTACTACATCTTTTGGCAAAATATTTGTTGGTAAAGTTACAAAATCTCTTAGACTAGGAAGTTTATCGCATGCAGATTGCTGTAAATAAAATATTAATACACTTATCTAGAATCAAAAAGCTAATCTAGTATCTTACAAGCGAAGAAAAGTCCTTTTCGTTGTTTTCGTTTATAAAATAATGAGGAAACGGTCTCAAACAGCCATCTACCCTGTATGACTTTAATGCTGCTATAAAAATACACACAGTTAAATCACATCCCAACACATTTTTCTTTATGATTTCTTTCAACTGTTCTATTTTGGCTGCGTATTCGTTCGTGCGAATTTTTTTACACTCAGTAAAGTGCAAATTATTTTGGCTGCAGGACTCTTCACCTTGCACATTTACTTTGTCTTCTAAGTCCAGCAAATTGGCTTCATCACTATTCATTATATTATCACTTGTTTTGTATTTTATTAACCCAAATATTACAATTTAACATATTAAGTTTCTTAAACTTGTTCATTTTCTATTGGACTAGAATGCAGCAAATATTTCTCTCTAATCAGCTGATTGTCAAGATATGTAAATGTAAATAAAGTGTATATTAGGCAACCTACAGCACGTGCTGTTCAGTGTTGCTTAATATGTTTGAAAATATAATGTATTATCCGTGGTATTATTATGTTATTATTAAAACAGCAAAAAATAAACACTAGTCCAGCACAATACACCAAAACATTTTACTTTTATCACTGCAGAGTTAAAATTGTTATAATCTTTAAACAACAAAGGTTCCATCCCCAAATGTATTATTATTAAAATCTTTCATACCGAGACCTATTTAGAAATTTAGAAAAGCAAACTAAAGAAATAAATGCTTACAATGGTTTTTAACATACCTTCTGCACCAAAGGACTACCAGTCCAAACCACGGATCTAATCTGCAAATCTGCTGTGCAAAAGCCTGGTAAAAGTAATTAAATGTCTTTTGTAACCCTGCAATAAAAAGAAATAAGATTAATAAAAAGTTGGAGACTAATATACGTCAGTATACAGATAGATATGTAAATATAGCATAGCAAAGATTATAAGACACTAACATTTTTAACAAAAGAGATGTAAACCAGGCACGTCCGTGAAACAAAAAATAATAGCGAAAATAACGATATTCGTAATTCTGTGTACTTAAAAGCATAGAATATGACTTATTCTACGCTTTTCCCTCGAATTTAAACTATTTAATCCGGTTTTAACTGTGAATTCTAAAATAATTATTTAACTTAGGCCGCGATGATTTGAAAAGACGCTAGCTAGAATGGTGACCTGTTGACATCCAAAGCCCCCTCTGTAGAAATCTTTTCCAAACTTTTCTTCTAAAATAGATTGTATATGTAACTAACAATACACGTATTAATAATTTAGTTCAGTAGCGTATCCCGTTGCCAACTTTGGAGAAAATGTTATACAAAATAAAAATATGAATAAAAAAAACATTAAACTATATTTATAGTTTATAAATTATAATTATCCTGGTAAATATAACTGATTAAAAGAAAAATCAGCGTTTGTCCTAAACAGTTATTTCTTATTAGACATATTTATTTATTGAAAACTACAAAAGTGGCTCTATTTACGAATTTACTTATGTTTAACATATAAAATTCAAGATATAGAAATACTGTATACTAAATATGTTGGTATTATATGCTATAACCATATAATTGGCTTGCTGGCGCATGAAGAAAACATTTTAATTTGACATTTCTTCTGGCTATTTTCCCTGATTGTAATTTTCAAAAGCAAACAAAAATATTTAAATACAAATTAATAATGCAGGTAAAATATTATTAATTTTTCTGTTCAAGAAACTATGTAATACGTAAAAAATTGTCAAAGTTGCTTAGCTTTAAAGAACAGGGCTCTATGAAGATTTGATACGCGATAGTTCAATAATATAAAAACTATAATATATTCTCTGTATGGTCTGTGTTTTAACTTGTATTATTCGAATAAAAAATATTTTATTAAAGAGCCCAATGCTTTGTTTTATTTTTTTTAATTGAATAAAAAAACACAAAGAACGAAGAAAAAACTATTTAAAATATCTAAATACAAATATTCAAGAATACTTTAGTTTTTTTCAACAGATACGTCTATAAAAATCGTTGACGTTCTCAAGTTGGTCTCTCTTGGATTAACGCAGCAGTGTTTACTTTAGCCCCCACTTTAAATTTTATTTGCGCCCGCCACTGCCTGAAGTTATATTTGATAAGACGTTTTGAACCCTAAACCCTAATTCCAAAAGAAAGGATAGACTGCTCTTCGTCCATATATGGCAGAAAGAATTATATATATGCAACTTCTGTCTATTATCAATTCAATTATGAGATGTCCATCTAAAGGTCATAGGCGTATCTTAAACTGACTTAAACTTAAAAATAAATATAAATTGTATATTTTGTATTTCATTATAAAGAAAAGTGTTTGTATAACTTTGAAATAAATTTATGTACCAATAATAATAAACCTACTTATGTTTTCTTGTTTTAAATACTATATATGAACAATCTGAAGTTAGGCATTATTAATAATAAATTATAACTATAGGAAGCTTGCGTTATAAGTTTATTGTTGTAAATTAACCACATAGGACACATTGGACTTAATAACTAAGGGTAAAGTTGTAGTTTGTGGTATAAGGGGTATAGGTAGGCACTGTATAGTTTTAGAAGTAATAGAAATATACAATATTAATGGGTGAAAATAATCCTTGATTTACAGTTAAGTGCTGTCGTGTTGTTAAGTGTTAAGAAATTGAAAAAGTTTAAAATAACGATGAAATATGTAGACGGTTATCAACGGTTGACGAATGTAAAGTTGTAGACATGGAATTAGACTCTGAGCAGACGCACACGAGAGGTATCGCTGGTATCGTTCTCCTTAGCTCATTCATGCCTCGCAGTAAAACGAATGCTTTTAACCGACCTGTGTGTTGTGACCAACCTTAACCAAGACAATGACAAGCTCTTAAAATATCAGTTGAAGCATTCAGCAAGCATCAAATAACACAAAAGTTCATTAAAATGAGTCACTGAGGAATATTACCACCGTTGCTGGTGCAAAAGGAAACAGTTATTTATATTTGAAGAAGTCGAAAAGTGATCTAACCTAACTTTGTTGCGATAATAAGATCCAGTGTTTTAAATAATAATTTCCAAGTCAATTTTGTGGAAGTGAAATTGTATTATCAAGTTTAGTGATTTTCGAAATAAATATGTTAAACATGTGCCTACAAAACTGCTGTGATGTTGTATTTGGGTAAGTTACTCAAAGACTTCTTTTTTAAACTATTGTCAATAACAATAAGCTCCCCAGCAATTAAATTAATTAGAGGTACATTTGGTTTTTCATTTATATTTCAGATACTTTTATAGGCAGCAGGTATTATAACTGCACCAAAATCAAATATTTGCTCATAGAAGTTTTGCTGTCATATCACCTAAAAATTTCCAGTTATCAGTGTTTTGTTTTTTAATTAAGTATATTCTGTATATTTTTGGGATTGATGTAATAAACTGGTTTTGAATTTTTTGGCGCGGCAGCTGTACAACACAAATTATAATAAAATCGATTCTTAATATGTAGATATTATGCAAGGTTAACATTTTTGTGGCATATCCCTAAATCTTACGATTACCTACTACATAAACTAGACTAGAATTAGCTGTAGTTTTTTATTTTAGCTACCATAACAAGTAAATTAATATGCAAAAAATTGTTTCTAAACATTTTGACATATGCATATATCTACAAGTTTATATAGAAAACGGTGCTGTTTAACTATAATAATTGATTTTCAGAAGATAAATAAATAACAAACTTATTGTATAAATTCTTGTTAAATTTGCTTATTACAAAATACCGTCCTCAGACTATTTATGTTATGTATGGTATTATCTAAATAGTTATGCAACTTGATTTATACTGTTCTGCATATTTTACCATCTTATTTGCACGTTGACGAGTCTGTATACAAAACCATTCTGATTTACTTAAGTTTAAAAAGTTCTAATTATTATACTTCAAAATATCAGAGTGAGTAGTATATAACAGTAACAAATAATATATTAGATTAAGAAAAATAGAGGCAATAATGTAGGAAAAGGTTGATTGAATCATTGGCTGACTAATATAAGGGGAAGAAGGAATTGACCAGTATTTCACTTAACGCATCCTTACTATCAGGGTAAAACACCCCATTTGTTTTGACGTCATATACTTCTTTCCATTATCTAACTAGCTTTTATGGCTATACTCGTAATTGTTCATTATAAATACGTTCTCTTAATGCTGCTTCTCATAATTATATATTATATATCAATAACTAAACTCCAAATACCTAGTAACAATAACGCAACATCGGTAGTAAATTGTTAAGTATAAACTAATGAACACAATACTTGTTTACTGTATAAATTATTTTATATTGTCTAAATTACCCCTGAGATTGTTAAAGTGGTATATCTATAAATAAACTTATTATGTCTCACAGCTTTTAGTAGGCTTACCAAAAAAACTGAAAGAGTAGCCTCGAGAATTGTCTAAAAATTCCCCAAGTTAACTTGACATATATGTTATATTGTCTTTATTTTGAAATTATATACATATACTGTTAAATATAAGAAATAGCACACGAAAACTGACCTAGCTATTCTCCAATCCATAATAAATATATATATATATATTATATATATATATATATATATATATTATATATATATATATATATATATATAGATATATATATATATATATATATATATATATATATATTTTTTTTTTTATTTGGATATTGATATTACCATTCGGAGATTGTACTGGAAGAAATTGCAATTTGTGCAATCAAAAAAGAATAGATTAGTTCTCTCCGAGATATTCGGATTTTAATAAGATATATATGTATATTATTCAAACGTTTGCAACTAATTATGTATTACCAGTGGCGGGGTAACAGGATTTGTTTTTTTTTCTGCAAGCGTTAAGAACGCCGTTAGACCAAGAATTTGCCTTTTTGTTGCGCGTTTTGCATAGTTTGCTTCTAAATTTATCGTGATTTATGGAAATGTCTTTACATATTTTTGTGCTTAATTTTAGAACAGCCGGTTAGATAGTTTAAATACTAATAAAATAATTATTATTTCACAAAATCATAAGAAAATAATAATAATAATCTGTTTGTACATGAAAACATTTTTGCGCGGTACAGAATTTTAATAAATAATGTTATATGCTATTGTTATTCAGTTAATATTATTTACCTTCTTTTATAATATTAAGGGCCGGTCACACTTGGATGCTGCCATGTTAATCAACCATTTAAATCAACTTGATTTAAATCATGTTATTTTTTTTATTTTAATCTTGGATTTAAATAAAAAAAATCAAATTGTTTAAAAACTTATAATAAATCGAAAAATAACTGGAAAAGTTACGAAAACTTTTCTTATAAAGCTATATAAAAAATTATTCCTATAATAAAAAAATAATCAAATAAAAGTTACACTTACTGTTGTATATTATCTGTGTGATCGAAAAACAAATGTAAAAGATATAACACATATCCCTAATTAATATATATTCATCTATTATAATATTGGACCGATTTTTGAAGTAATTTCTTATGAATCCATTAATCTTCTAAACTGCAGAGATTTATTTTGAAATCGTGAAATGACAGAAATCCCGTATTCGAATACATTTTATTCGCAAACTCTAGTGCAGAACTGCTTTCTTTGGATATTAAATTATATTTTGATTACGGAGAATCTATAATCTATGTGAAAAAATATGCTGGTGTTAAGGCTCTTTTATATCTTCTTTGAAACAGCTGTATGTTGATCAATTTATCTTCTAGCTATTTTAAAATTTTTACCGCATAATTTCTACCGACATTATGTTCTGCAGTAAGTACTTTGCACTTTGAACATTAGAAAAGCACATCAAATCATTCAGAAAATTGATTAAAATCACCAAAATTTTAAGTTAAAGAGCTAATCCGCGAAAATGCGAGGTAGGACTTCTAAATATAATTAAGCGAAATTTGAAACTACAAACAGGGGAGGTTGAGAACAAAAACCGTACCATTTCAAGCGGACCATGTCTCTATAAAACTGATATAATTTATTGCCTGAAATCTCATTAGCAGTAATCTTATAATCGTTGTTTTTGCGCATAATTGAGCGGCTAGGACCGTTTTTCATAGACTCAGCATACCGTGACGACGTCGATCAGCCATTTCGTTTTTCCTTTTCTTCGGAGAACTTTACCGTTGCCTTTTCTCATAAAAATTCAATTCAGATTTCGTACACCATGCGTGTAAATGTAACGTTGGTTCAAAATAATTCAGGACTAGCCCAAACCAAACCACTCGTTCTGTACGAGAGTTGTTTTTTACATTTTGCATATAAAGGTAGAAAAAAATCAGTAGATAACTTTTAAACACTATTGATTTTAGAAATATTCTCCACGAAAAGAAATGCATTTTTGCATCGGTTGGAACCAATTCTGAAAGCAGTTATTCCACTAGCTTGTTGATACTTTCAAAATTGCGTTTTTGAAGGCGTTGACTGCATCTTCAGTTTATTCTTAATGCTTGGAAAAGTAAAAAAGTCCTTAGGACTGATTCCAACATTCGATGTTTTCGTGCTTTAAAAACTCAATTGTTTTTGAGCTGTGTGGGAACTTGCATTGACTTGGTGGAGGATCATTCGTCGTCGAGAGTTGGTTTTTCGAAACTGAGCAAGTTCTTTGATATTGCAGAGGAATTGTTGCTACATGGCCCCTTTTGAGACAAACGTAGCCATCATCTTTTTGGAAACACTTCGAGAACGGATAACTTTCATCGGTTTTGATTCATCTCGGAACACCCAAACAGCTAATTGACGTTTATTTTCGGGTTCAAAACAGTAAATCCAGAATTCATCACCACTGATAATACTGTGTACATTTTTAGAGTTTCCAGCTTACGTACAGCATCGACGTTTTCCTGGACTGCCGTTGATAATGGACTTGTTGTTCGATCGTCGCTAAGACTAATCCGTCCACGTTTAAATTCTCCATTTCAACGAAAAATTGTCGACTGATGTAGTGCTTCATTCCCGAAAACATAAATCAACTTGGCAAAGCATTCTTGTAGAGACAACTATCTTCGGAAACTTCAACAACCTACTATGTTTCTATATGCAAAATATAAAAGACAACCCTCGTAATAAGCGCGCTTTTAAAGATATAATGCTTAATATAGTTGAGTCTTTGACAATATTAGGAAAACGAACAAAGAAAAATTTAGGCAATAAAAAAACTGTTACTTTTTTTCTTAGTTGAAGAAGCAGGCATCAGCTGTAAATAGTAACATGACAAATGAAGCGTGACCTTATATTAATTAGATATTGTTTCGACTTTTCCATCATTATTATATGAATTTTAGATGTCGTAATAACGAAAGAAAGTCCCCGTCGTTTTGTGACGATTTTTATTAAGTTTTAGAGCAATGACATCTAATAACTAAACGAGGTATTAAATATAGTAATTATCGCTTACAAATAAACGGAAATCAGTTGGAACGAAAAATTCTCTGTGAAAATACGTGTTAAATGACAATTTTGCATCTTAATGAAGACCGTTTTCGTTTGCATTTGCTTATTGAAATAATCGTTGCTTAGATAATTTGAAATTCAATATTAACACATTTCTCCCCATTTGACCACGTATTATGAATAACTTTCAGATATTTAGTTCTTCCTCTAACTCGAACTTGAATTGACAATTCTCAAGTTTCAATTCCACTTTCACTTTCGTTCATATGAATTAAGTTTTTTGGAAATGAATGGGACAATAATTAAGATTATTTATCTTTTAAAAATCGAAAATAAGCTGTACGACATTAAACAATTAATAACAGAAGAAAGAAAATCAAAATCGATCACTTGACCAACATGGCCAATTTTAAAGACGTTTTATCTTTTTTACACTATCCAATGTGCTGAGAAAGAATATTAAACATAGCAATAAAAATACGAAACCATAAAGTATTAATTGTATGACATTTTAAATACTTTTAGACAATATAAAGACCGCTAAAGTCTAAAAAACTCCAAACCCTCTGGTATTGTGAGAAAGTATCATGACTATATTATGTATGGAAAAAAGTCGGAAAATTACCATTTTTGGTTATTTTCACGCATTTTTTTAAGGCCTTAGAAAAATAGCAATCATAGATATAAAATTATTAAAATTTCAAGACATGTAGGAAATTTTAA